TACGCCTCAGTCAGACCTGGGCACTCCTGGGAGTCAGTGGCGCCCTGGCACCAGAACGAGCCTGGAATTGGAGAGAGGCTTTCTGGAAACATCTCCTCTGAGGGAACAGCGGCGTCGGCATTTACCGAGAGGAGAAGCAGCGGCTGCACTTCCTCTACAAGCGTCTGACTCTGCCTTATACACGCGCTCACAGTAGCGGGAACTGACCTCCCCAAGAGAACGTGCGCCGGGAAAGTGGAGGAAGGAGTTCCTCTCTCTTCCTCTAGCCATCCCCAACCTCCCTGAGCGCCAGGCACCTGCTCCAGGCAGCCCTCAGCACTTGTCCCTGAGTGCGGGGCTGCCGCGGGCCGCCTCGGGGCTTCCTTGCTCCCAAGAACGCAGCTCTTGATCTCCGCTGCGCGCTGGGAGAGTCGCCACCGAGAAGCCAGGCGCACTGGCCACCCTCCAGCCACAGAGCAACCTCCCCCCACCCGGCTCTTTAAACATCTCTCTTCTGCACTTAAAAAATTCAGGCTCTTAGAATCAGTATCCTCTCCACGTAGCTTGCACCCAGAAGAGCAAAGCGAGCGAGCGAGACATTCTGGCTGCAGGAACCTCTCCCCCTAGTGATGCAGTTATTTATAGCTCAAACTCCTGCTTCGGGCTGCGTGTGCTCGCGCGCCGGGCTTCGCCTCGGCGGTGCAAACTTTTCCTCACGTCCCGCTATTCCGGAGGAATCAGTACCAGGCGCCAGGACTGAATGAATGCTCCTGATTGCTAATGTCAGGAGAGTCAAAATACAGTTTTTTTTTTTTTTTGGCGTGTATGGGTATGCCTTTCTAGCAGGCGTCCGTCCATCTGCAAACACGTAACCAGCAGCTTTGAGGCAGGGTTTTTTGGGGGGGTTTTGTTTGTTTGTTTTTTCCTCTGAATGGGTTCAACGTCAATACAGGTTGCAGATGTGGAAACTGGGGTCAGAAGGTCAGGCTGGATGAAGGAGTAGAATATGGCGTTGGATTGGGAGGAATGAATGAACAATGAGGGAGTGCATGAAGAGAATAAAAGAAAGCAACACTAAATCACGTAGTTTCCAGAAATAGACGAAGCAAGGACCGATATGTATGCTGGTTCCCGGACCACCATGACCTAAATTTGATGACGGAGTCCCTCCCTTCTTCACTTCGGGAACAAGTAATCAAGTGGTTATTTTCACTCTGCTTTTAAAATACCGGAAAAATCAACCTTAGATACACAACCTGGAAGACGTGTTTATGTGTGTGTGTGTGTGTGTGTGTGTGTGTGTGTGTGTGTTTGGGGGCGGGAGGGGGTAACACTGCTCAGAAGCAAGACACTTCCATTGACAGGATTTATTTTTCCCCAGCTCCAACTACAGGCACCGAAAGGTATTTTACCTTCTGTCAATGATTCAAAGGAGAAGGGAAAAAATACCCACATACAGGCTTAGATGGCTGACCAAGTAAAACCTGCTCTCTCCAACCACAGCTAACCCTCTGGGTGCACGTCTTTTCCAAGGTTCGACCACTCGGACTCCTCAACTGCTGGGCTACGGGGCAAATAACTGGAGACTCCTAGTCGCCACGGCGGTATTTCCTTGCGAACTGCACAGCCCAATCCGCCCTCTGGCCTCCCCTGCCCCCTGAGCTCGCTGGGCAGCCGCGGTCCCCACGGCCGCTGGGCCCCGCGCGCAGCGCGCTCTGAACGGAGACATTCCCCGCCGGCCGGCGCGCGCCGCGTCTTCGCTTCACCTCCGCGGCGTTATTGTTCCGCGCCGGCGGCCGAGCGCCAACCGCAGGCCCGCGCCTCCTTCCCGACGCAGTGAGCACTTCATTAGTAACCCAAGCGTTCCGAGCCCGCACAAGTCTCGGCCCCTCAGGGAAAGCTCCGGGCTCTCACTGCTCACCGGCAAGCTTGCGGGGACGCTAGGGGCTGAACTCCCCCTTCTCCGACTCAACTCCAGCCCGGCCCGGGCTCTTACAGGAGGCGAACACGGACAAGAGGCGAGGGCTGAAGGAGAGATGTGACCCGCCTGCGGTCCTAGGGCAAGAGCTCGCCCGCGGTCCTCCTCACCCCACCCCATTGCACTCCGTCACTCCTCACGCCCTCCGGACTGCCTGCTCCAGAAATCCCGCTCCCGTCGGATGGACGGCCCGGACGCGGGGCTGCAGGGGACTGGAAGCAACCCCGGCTCGCAGCCCGCTGGTCGGCCAGGAGCAGCCCGAACGGGGAGCCGGCGGGGGAGGGTCGCCTGGCGCCGGAGGCGCGGCCGGCAGCGCCACGGAATAGCCGGCTCATGCAGGTAGACAGCTAAATAAATAAGTCAGAACAAACTTTGCTTTCCCATCACCTTACCTTCCTTCGCAGCCTGAGCCTCCCCCGTATGTGCAAAGCGGAGCAGCCAGATGTAGCATAAAATAATCCATGAAGGGTACCGAGTTTGAAAAACCATGGTGCATGAGCAGGTTTTATTTTAGGTTTCAGTTATCTTGAGTCGTAGCTTTTTAAATGCTGTTTGCTCCGAAGTAGGATTTTTTTTTTTAATTGCGCTCCTTGCCTTGATTCCCCTTCTCGGTCCCCGGTCGACTGCTCCACGTTTAGCTTTTTTTAATTTTTCCCCCTTCCTGTTCGTTCGCACCGTGTTTGCTGCCTGCAAGTCTCCGACTGCAGACCGGCCGCTTGCTCCACACTCCAATAAGAGCAATTAGGGGGGAGGGGGCGGGGCTCTGAACCGAGAACCTCCGCCACTCGGGCTGAGTGGCAGGGACTGCCTCTCTAAGTGCCTCTTACTTTTTTGTTATTACAACCTCCGTGAATCGGGTAACTTTGCTTCTTGCCTTTTTTGAAAAGTTTCTGTTGCCATTACTCCAAGGGCAGTCAGTTTGGGGCACTATCCACCACCCTGGAAGACTGAAAGTAATTTAATGTACTATGTTTACACAAGGTTTCCAAGAGTTTGTAACTAACTCTGGCAGAAGAAGCTGAGGGAGAGGGAAAGGAAGTCTTTTGTTTTGCGCGCCCCTTTACCCACGCCCTGTCTTTCCACAATAGTTTGCTGAATGAAGTGGAACAGTAGAAGAGAACCTTCAGAAGGTTCCGTCTCATTTTTCTTAACGTGTTTGTCATTTTTTTTTTTGGGGGGGGGTTGCTCCATTCTGATCATTTTCTGTTTCGTTGCATAAATTACACTTAGTGTTAAAGATTGCTACCAACTTTTAAATAGACAAAACAAGACCTTCTTTCGCAAATACTATTTTCAGTAATTGTTCAACCGCTATTCAATAACTATCTTTCAAAAGGAAACTAAGAATAAAATATGTAACCAATATCTCCAGTTGAATTTATTCGACCTGAACAACTGGGAATGACTGCATAGAGAAATGTTTTACATTAGGCAGTTTTGGACACTTTGTATTCAGGACATGGGTAATACAAGAGAAAGAACTTTAAACTCTTAATTGCCAGAAAATCAATTTGTTAGATCTCCCAGGACAACTTGATCATGTTTAAAATCATATTCTTTTTTCTCCCCACCCCTTATATCACTTTCTTTATAAAAATGATCAGTCTTCATGATGTGTCTAATAGGCACAAAGTTTCCTCCCGAATAAGACCCCAAACTTTTTCCATCCCATCTGTGTAGAAACATAAAATAAATGTAATTGTTTCTGATATTAATAGTAGAAACTTCTCAGAATTGTTGCCCCCCCCAAATATTATTTTATGGTAAATTGTCTTCTGAAGTTTTTATTTGCCTAATACAGTTACATGAAAGAGAAAAATTAAAGTCCCTTATCTTCTAACCTTTTACATCCTGTAGGTTATTTCCCAAATATTATATGTTTCTAGCCATTATGCCTATTAAATATTTTAGAAATTATGTCTAAAAGCATCTTAAGTGCCCTTTTAAGGGTTCATAGAAAATATAAACCGCTCAACAGATAAACCTTGGAAAGAGACAAAAAGTATATAGGAAGAGTACACTTGTTATAGAGAAGACAGAGCAGTTTTGGCATGATAGATACCTTATGGGTAAGAATTGTAGGCTACAATACTAGAATTTATAATCATAAATCCCTACATAGAGACTTTAAAACTCATAGAACCACAGCTCACAAATATTAAACTACTTCTAGTCGTTAAAATAAATTCTTCAAGATTTCAACGTTTTCCCCAAGGTTTCATCCCATCTTAAAGTGACACTAAGATAGCCTTTAAAGTTTAAAATATTCCTTTCATCTACTGAGTGACTAATACTCAGTGATACAGATACTCTTCCATTAAACCAGAAAACCAAAGAAGTAACATCCTTCACTCCTCTGATGAGTGTAGGTGGTACAAGGAGTCTCTTATTGTGTCCCTTCTCTCTGTCAGACATAGGGATGTGGCAGCCTTAGTTTTATTTTTACAGACAAGAAGCTTCACATTAAATGCACATGTACCAAGCTGCTGACAGTTCTTCTTTCAGAGCTGCATGATGATGCTCATGTTCAGATTTACCAAACTATTTTTTTTGTAGTTTCTTGGTATAGTGATAAAGGAGTTATGGCATTCAAATAAAAATAAATTACTTAGGAGAACATTCATTGTCTGGTATTAGTATACCATATGTTTTAATACATAAATTGGCATTAGACTGTTTGACTCCCAGTAAAGCATATACTACCTATTTGTACATAAAGCCTCTGAAGTAACAATAATCAGTACACAGAACTTTCACGTTTTAAGATACCATGTAATAGTGACTTTTCTCACAGCACTTGAAAATAGTTTATTTTAGCTTTATATCTTTGATATTTTTGTATATTATTTTTAGGGTACATTTTAGAAAGTATGTATATAAAATGAATTAGGAAAATAATTTCTTTTCTTGAGCAATAGAAAATGGGATATATGACCAACAATATGAGCCAAAATAGAAACTTTGAAAACAGGGTTTTTTAAATTTTTATGTATTCATTATATAATGCAGTTGATTGAGTAGCCTAATTATATTTAGCACATTTTACATAGAAAAGAATACTAAAACCTTACTACTCCATATAAACCTCCTTTTTGAACATCTATCATAAACATACAATGGAAAGATGAAAATATGCCTGTCTTCAGATGTAAAGAAGATAAAGCTCATTCTTGTGAACTTTGTGTTATTTTATCTATATAATTACTGATAATCACACACAACTGTCCATATATGCAAATAAAGGTACACATTTAAGATGCACATCCCAAATGAGGGTACAGCTGTTGTTTTCTTTTAACTTGCTATGATACTAATATTTACCTTCTTATTTACCTCCGGGAAATATCTTCTGATTTTAAGAGAGAAATAGTTACTTAGGAGTAAATTTTAATGACTTCAGGGAATAAGGTCCATAAATTTCAAGTAAAAGCCAGTGCGTGTGTGTGTTCCTAGTCGTCCAGCCTTTAGAGGGTGAAGAAACAACTGGAGACTTCAGTACGTTACAAATCCAAGGCTGTCAAACTAAATAGTTAACAACAACAACAATGAAATCAAAGGGCTGTCTCTGAACCTACTACTTTTGCACTTACTGTCTAAATGCATTCACAGCTGGTAAATGTGAAAATGCAAGTTCATCACAGAAAAAGGGGTAATTTAAACTGAATTAGAAAAGGTGCTGTGCAGAAGAAACTGATTATAAACAGAAAAGAAGCATTATGTCTCAGTTAATAGATATTACAGAAAATAGGGTTCTTTGTGATTTTAGTCAAAATGTAAACAATCTTTCCACTGTGCAGGAAAATAATTTACATATTTACATTAGCATGATTTATGTAGTGTACATAAAATATTTATTTGCCAGCTAATGTAAAAAATGTATATCAGCTAAACTCATTAAAAAGCATAGTCATAATTTTACTTCCACCTTTAGATTTAGCTGACAATGTATAGGAAGTCTGAGGTCAGGAATCAGATAATAAGTCAAGACTATAATTTTTGACTTTATAAAATTTCACTTTCTTTTGTGTAGATAAGTGAGTAAAGTTTAGAAGATTACAATGATAATTTTTTATCTGCAATTACTGAGTTAATTTGAGACAATTTAACATATAAAATTATAATTTGTATCTAAAAAGTCCATTCAAATCTTAAGGGGCAACTGAAGTTTTCTAATCACTTAATATATTCATAAGCATTAAATCAAATAACTTACTGTTTGAGTAATAGTAAAAGAACTAAATATGTCAAGAAAATGTAGTCCATGAAATCATTTAACATATGTTCTATACTCTAAAAAGATTTTTTTTTCTAATTTGATTTTGCCTGGAAAAGTTCTTCCTTTCCATTACTTAAACTTCATGTTGTCATAAATCACCAGTACTGATAGGAAGAACTGGCTTAAATTATGCAAATTACTTCTACATGTTTTTGTGGTTTCTCATCTTGCAAGTTTTTGTTCTTTCATCCAGTGGATTTTTAGGTGTCAAGGAGATCTGTGACAATTCAATGACCACCAGGGGGCACCAGTACCTCTGGGTGACCTGGCCAATCAAGTCCCCAGTGAAAAAGGATGAGCTAATTCAGAAATTTTATATATGTGTATGTATGTATATGTGTATATATATAAAATGAGTACATAATTGTTCCATTGACACTTTTAAATTTCCTATCCTCCCTGAACCTATGTCAGTCTACTTACAGGCCTTCACGGCCTGCCAGGCGGCGATTCCCAGGGCTGAGGGGCGGGTCCCGGTGAAAGGGCCGCCCCAGGTTTGTGGGCGGGATCCGAGGCGCAAACCAATCAGCGCCAAGCGGAGTCAGGTTGCGGGTCCAGGATTCCCTCCAGGTTCTAAGGTTTTGGCTCGTGCAAAATGCTCAGAGGAGGATGAGGATGGCAGTTTGGGGGTGTGCTGCTGTGGGTGCTCTGCTTTTACAACTACAGCTTTCGTGGAGCACAATGAATCCGAGAATAATGCCCTCAACTTACACTGCTATAGCTGTAGTCCTCGCGGTCTTTTAGAAACCAGAGGTGAAGCCAGCCATCTCTCAGCTACCAAGCGCAGAACCCGGACTGTGAAATGAGCTGTGCCTCTCTAAGTGCCTCTTACTTTTTTGTTATTACAACCTCCGTGAATCGGGTAACTTTGCTTCTTGCCTTTTTTGAAAAGTTTCTGTTGCCATTACTCCAAGGGCAGTCAGTTTGGGGCACTATCCACCACCCTGGAAGACTGAAAGTAATTTAATGTACTATGTTTACACAAGGTTTCCAAGAGTTTGTAACTAACTCTGGCAGAAGAAGCTGAGGGAGAGGGAAAGGAAGTCTTTTGTTTTGCGCGCCCCTTTACCCACGCCCTGTCTTTCCACAATAGTTTGCTGAATGAAGTGGAACAGTAGAAGAGAACCTTCAGAAGGTTCCGTCTCATTTTTCTTAACGTGTTTGTCATTTTTTTTTTTGGGGGGGGGTTGCTCCATTCTGATCATTTTCTGTTTCGTTGCATAAATTACACTTAGTGTTAAAGATTGCTACCAACTTTTAAATAGACAAAACAAGACCTTCTTTCGCAAATACTATTTTCAGTAATTGTTCAACCGCTATTCAATAACTATCTTTCAAAAGGAAACTAAGAATAAAATATGTAACCAATATCTCCAGTTGAATTTATTCGACCTGAACAACTGGGAATGACTGCATAGAGAAATGTTTTACATTAGGCAG